CCAAAGCCACTGCAGTTCTGATCCTGAATGTTCTTCCAGAGTCCAGATCTCATCACAGCCGGATCCACAGACCCCTTCTGGAGCTTTGATTCATGTGCCACGTTACTTGGGCAACCTGCCCTTCAGAGTCTGGAAGAAGATGCAGGACATGGTCCAATACAGTGAGTCTGGAGAAGATCTGTGCTCTTACACATACACTGGACATGACACATTCTGGAATATTTATAACATTTATTAATTAATTCATAATAATCTGTGTTTGGTTCACTCTTGATCATTATATGAACATCAGAATAAAAGCAGCTGTTGATTGTGTCTCATCAGCTCCTGTGATTCTGGATCCAAACACTGCTCATCCATCTCTCGTCCTGTCTGATGATCTGACCTGCGTGAAAGACCTCTGGAACAAACAGCCGCTTCCTGATAATCCGGAGAGATTTGACAGCTATTCCTGTGTTCTGGGTTCAGAGGGTTTTAATTCAGGAACACACAGCTGGGATGTGGAGGTTAAAGGGAATTCACACTGGATTCTTGGAGTAACTACAGCATCGAACCAAAGGAAGGGACGTGAGTTCTTTGACACTGATGTGTGGAGTGTGCAGTATGGACTGTATGAAAGGTCTGGTTTTCCTGTTAGACAGGATCTTGAGCGTGTGAGAGTGTATCTGGTCTATGACAGAGGAATGGTGTTATTCTTTGATCCTGTAACTAACACACATCTACACACATTCACAACCACCTTCACTGACACCGTCTTTCCTTTCTTCGAAACCGCTTCCTCTCTGAGAATCTTGTCATTCAAAATTAAGTAAATGCTGCACTACAGTCATTCAGTGCTACAGACACACTGACAGAGACATAATGCTGAACTTCCGGTGGAAGCGAATACTGGTGCAAACTTCTAATTATTATCTAATAATTGTTTGATTGTTTTATAATTGCTATAAACCATGGTTGTTTTAATTTAAAGGAGCAACTGAAAGGATCAAAGCATCAAAGGACTCTTTTAACCAAAAAAATATTAACAACTTGGTGGCTTTTAATTGTGTGAGTGATCAATCTGGCGCCCTTGGCTCACTTCCTCCAGGAGCTTACCCTGGAGTTTGTTATAATAATGTGGATCAACAGGCTTCTTACATGGATTATACCTCTTCTCATCATCCATCCAGTGACATTGATATTTCAATATACAACAGCGGAAATTTTCTCACTATGACCCACCTCTGAGCCTCTAATTTCACCACTATATCCATGATCATTTTGGTTATCCAGTGTCCTTCAAAGAAATCAAGGCGGACTGTCGACCACAGTGTGCTAGCTAGCCTAGCCAGGCCAGCTAACATCAAATCTGGTATGAACAATTTGGCTTATTTAACATTCATCCGTTAATAAACAAAGGACCTCTCATTTATGATCTGCTGAACGATAATACATTGGACTTTCTCTGTGTAAAACTGACATGGCAGCAGCACAATCAAACTGTTCCTCTAAGGATTGTTTATACCGGCCAACCTTGAGTGTCTGGTGGATAGATAGATAGATAGATAGATAGATGGATAGATGGATAGATAGACAGATAGACAGACAGACAGACAGACAGA